GTAGTCCAGCCACGAGAAAACAGGTAAGTTGTTCAACAGTGTTTTTAGGGAGCATTGGTTTGACTTTGGCATTATTTCTAATTTGTAGGGAGCAGGAATGAAGAAGAGTTCTAATGTGCTGGTTTAGGTTGAGGTATTAATCAAAAACACCTCTCAGGTTTCGAGCTGACTGCTTTGTGAAAAACTATCAGGCCCAATAACCAGGCAGTGAAGCACAGAAGCCAAGACTACCAGGGGTAACTGAGACATAAAACTGAGAGTCATCGGCATAACTGTGGTGGGACACGGTGGTGAATCGGTGACACACACGAGGCAACAGATATGCACTCAACAAAAAGAGGTCAAGGTCTGAGCCCTGCGGGACAACACATGACACGAACTCAAGATGTCAACCAGTAACTCTGAATGCTCTGTTTGATAAGTTACATGAAAACCAGTACAGAGCAGTTCCACCTCGGACAACCAAGTTCTTGACACTGTTGAGGAAAATCTTATGATCAGCCGTGTCCAAAGCGGCACTCGACTCCAGCAGAACACCGACAGCACCAGAGTGCACGTTCACTCAAGTGTCATTTACTCTGAACAGGGCGAGTTATGTACTGTGAAGTAAAACGTGCTACGCCACTGTCAAATAGCTGTTACAGTATCTGAGGCAAAGAGTTGGGGAGAAAAATGTTGTTTGAAAACAGATCAGAGCAAAACAAACCTAGCGTGCCGCTTTAGTGAAGAAGCTGCAAAAATAGCTGTGGATGAATTTTGTGTTGCTTTTATTTGTCATCCTCTGTGCTGAGAAAAATATCTCGATGAAGGGTCAAAAAACAAGCCAGCTACCCGACTACCTCCCGCCCCGACTCTCAGTTAAACCAGCGAGTTTACATCCTACTGGAGGCCCAAGGGAAGGATGTGAACTTCCTCTATCCTGCGCTGTGTGTGTGCAAAATTACCAAGTGAAAAGTACAGCATGACTGAGTGCAGCGGAGGTCACATGTCTCCCGCTTGTGTGTCCTGTTTACAAGACTGTACATACATGAACACTAACAAAATGCACACAGTCACTCATTAGAACATCATCCGTCAGGTTCTCCCGACTCTGGCCATCAGCTGTGTTTTTCCGGAACCTCTTTTCTCTCGGCTGTGTGCACAAAGCTTGTGTACGTGTGTCGTCGACAATAAAGGGATGTCCTTCGGGCCAGCGCGAGGACAAGCTTCCACACGAGGCACGGAAAGTGACGCTTTCTATTGTTTGTTTGCAACAAAGGGCCCCGCGGCGCTGCTTTTCAGTTTTGTTTGATGGACGGTTACTGTGTTGGAGGAAAAAAATGTACTGCAGGTTCGTGTAGCAGACTGAAAAAGGGCTCAATGTCGTGTTTTTCTTACTGATTTATTAGCTGTTACATCACTGCTGGGTGTTCGCTGGTGTTAGATAAGCTGCAGTGTCAACATTATGTTTTTAGGTGACAAACCCTCTTACAGACATCATTTTTCCCCCCCGAGTGTTTCACCCACGCTGAAAAGATCCTGGTGAGAATTAAACGGTACAGTTTGTGAAAGCACTTCAAAATAAGTGCCATCTCAATTCTCCGCCATTAAGTTTATTAATTTTAATGCTGTATATGTGACCGAATGAGTACTTTATTGTTGATATGTTGATTTTCACCAACCTGCCCAAAGTTCAGAAGCCAAGTGAGGTGCCATCGGTGCCGTCATCATCACCAGCGCAGCCAGAGCTTCCTCAAACTCCACACTGTGCTGCAGCACCCTGACTGTTGCACTCTAAACACACACATGAAGCGGTACAACTGTGATTTCCTGCGTGTTCAATTAAAACGATAACTGTGCCATATGTATTCTAAGGTACCGGATGGTGCACTCACACTCAGCGTGTTGGTGAGTCCCATTAAGCGAGACATGGCGGCGTTAAAAAGGAAGTCCTCTGTGAAGTGAGCCGTCACCTGAAAACACAAAAAAGGCGACACAATGATAACGTCTGAGCTTTTACGTTCTGTTTTTGGTTACTGGACATATGGATGTTCCCAGATGGATTGACTGTACCGTGACGAATCATGAGAAAACAATGACAGGCTCAGAAGAGGAGCCTCCCCCCCTCTCCCCGGTTATCGTCATGTGCACCAGCTGAAGGCACACAGCGTGTCAGCATTCCCCTGCTTAGCCTTCTGGGAAGAAGAACCCATTTGGGAAGGGCCTTAGGGAGGAGGAGGTTGATCAGCAAGGCTTTTCTGAGGGACACATCAAAGGACAGCCTCGGCTTTGAGGGCTTATAGCAAACAGCCCGAGGTCCTTTAAAAGCACTGGGGAATCAAACCTGGCAGCCAAAGGGGGTTATTTATAAAGTGTGAAAGGAGACGGAGTGGATTTAAAATCAATTTTCATCCCCTTCTGCTATTACTCTTTACACTGGGGGGTTTAGGTTGTGAGGGATGTTTAGGGTTGGATGGAAATGCTGGGACTCTGGACCATGATGAGTGACGTATTACTTACATTCATAAAGAATCTTTTAACTGAGAAAGTCAACTGAGAGAGTCGTCCAAGCATGCCTTCCAACTGTATAATTTATGAGTATAAAAAGCAGAAATTAAATGTATTAACCCCCCCGAGCCCCTAAAATTCACAAGCAGGTATGAAAGCCATTATGTTTTGACCAAATAGCCACAATTACACCATTTATCAGTCAGAAAGTGTGAAAACGGAGAGATGTTTTTTTAGTGGTCCTTCTTCTACTCAAACATGATGCACTGTTCACTTAAAATTTAAACAAATGTAAGCTTAAAATGAAGATATTTCAACAAAGTCACTTTATCTATACATTTTATATGTCTCATTTAAACCAGATTCCTTAAAAAAACAGAAAATAAAACGCTCCTCGGCACACCCAGGAAGCCATTAGTGATTCAGCTGCAATCACACATTTAAAATTCTGACACATTTCGCTGAACTGCAGGCTGCGTTTACACAGAGCAGAGAGGAGATAAGTACAGAAACAAATCAGAAATGTAATCAGCAAAACATCTATAACATGTTTAGTCACCATTTTCAGTGTTGGTGACACATGTAGTCACTTACTAAAATGTTGTATGTGTTGATTCCAGTAAGGAAAGGTAAGGAAATTCAACTTTTTTATTTGATTTTTTTTTCTGATTTCTGGCATTATAATTGTGTCATACTGCACATAAGATATTTTGGAGTTCCCTCTACTTCTTGTGTTGTTGTTTCCATAGAAGTGCAGGACTTCATACAGCAGTAAAAAAAAAAAGAGGCCACAGTGAGTAAAAATATGACAGGAGTAGCTCACTGTTTCGAGGATTAATACCAGTCTTTCAAACTCAAATACACAAAATATACCAAGATGACAGCTGCAGTGTCTAATTAAAGGTAGATGAACAATAACTTTCCGTGGAACTCTTAGATTTGTGCCCACAACTGACCCCTGCTGGTAACAACTGTCACAATAAGTCACCGTTTAATAACGTCACCACTTTCAGCCAATTATCCAAGATCACAGCCAGTCAAAGGCCATAAAACAGCTACCTCTTGGATTGCGTAGTTCTTGTTCTCCCAGATCTTCTTGGCCTCTGCCAGCTCTTTCTTTTTCAGCAGGGAGGGGTTGGGGATGTCTCCGAGTTGCCGCGCCGCTCTCAGTTTGGTGACCAGCTGCCACAGTCGGGACTGCCATCGAAGAACACCAGGAAGAGCGTCGGCTGGAGACGCAGAAGAAAAGGACATTTTAACAAACCCTCTCAACATTAGATTTACTCATTTGAAGCAACTTATATGCTAAAGGACACCCTCTCCAAACCAGCACCATTCCTAATTTACTATACTAATGAATAACTTAAGGTGTCTGTGTGACTTTGCAGCAGCGCCTCGGCTCACTCTTGACATTCCAGAGGATGTCCTGCTCAGGCGGCGCAGCGTAAAGGATGTAAAGTCGAACCGTATCCACGCCGTACTGCTGCACCACCTCTTGGGGGTCCAGTCCGTTGTGTTTAGACTTGCTCATCTTCTCCCATGTCACCTCAATACGATCACCGCTCAGCGCCACCGGTTCCTTATCTAGAAGAGGCAGGTGAAAGTTCAGAGGTCAACTGTAGCTGGAGTGCATAATGAGGGATTGAGAGACTTTTCTGTCCCTGAAAGCCACCAAGTATCTCCTGTTTATCCTGTTGCCGAGCAATAAATAAAAGCCAAAAATCCTTGGGCGTGATGCCAATTATAAAAGAGCTCTTGGGTCTCTTCAAGGGATTTCATGTGATTTGATTTTTGTCAACACCGGCTGGTTAACTTGTCATTCAATTAGGAGAAGCAATAACGCACAAAGCAGAGAAGAGCCGCTATTAGCAGCACTGAAAGGATGAGGTTGAGTAGTGGTGTCACAACAAACTACAATAAGAAAGAGAATGATGTTTTGACTCCTTAGTCGGTTTATCATGACTTGTTTTATCTGGCAGAGCCACATGCGGGGAAGCCCTCCCCTCTATCGTCTGTTACAAATGTGTGACATTAACAAACACCGTACAGACTCAGGTAGCGTGTACCTGTGAAGTCTATTTCTTCTCTCTTCAGGTACTGGCCGCTGTCAGCCAGTTTGAAAGTCTGGCCTTTGATCAGACCCTGGACCAGGAGCTTCCAGAAAGGCTCCCTGGAAAACAAAAGGAGGATTCACTGACACACACGCAAAATGTATATTTAAATCATGAACGCATAAAGAACAGTGTAATCCACCTGTGAGCCACAAGACCCTGATCCTTGCAGAAATGACAGAGAAAGCGAGCGTAGTACAAGTGCATGACGGCGTGTTCTTTCCCTCCGATGTAGACGTCCACAGGCAGCCAGCGATCGGCGAGGTAACGCTCAAAAGGCCTGCAGAGGAAGAGCACATTTAGGGAGGCTGTCGACTGGAAAGCTCAGTGACTTATCAGAATAAACTGTTATCAAGGCCGGTGTTCAGCTGAGAAGGTCTTTGAACAAATCACCTGTTCAGTCAAAACTATTCAGCTTAAAATCGGGACATTTTAATCAAAATCAGTTTTACAACACGTTTCATTTAAAAAATTGCCAAAAATAAATTCTTTGCATGAACCATATTCTGTAAAAAACTAAAAATTCTTCCGTCCTCAGTGCAACCATGAAGCCATTAGTGACTCAGCTGCAACCAACAGTCACGTGACAAAAAATATATTTTTTAGATGTTGTTTTTGCAAATAAACTGCTATGCAAATAAAAGAAAGATCCAAGCTGCAGGTTTGCTATATGCCGTTAATCTTTTTTGTCTTTTATTGATTTTACTACGGGCTGCAAGGTGGCGCAGTTGGTAGCACTGTTGCCTCGCAGCAAGAAGGTCGCCGGTTCACGTCCTGGTGGGGGCACTGGGATCTTTCTGCATGGAGTCTCCATGTTCTCCCCGTGCAGCGTGGGTTCTCTCCAGGTTCTCCGGCTTCCTCCCACAGTCCAAAAACATGTTGAGGTTAATTGGTGATTCTAAATTGTCCGTAGGTGTGACTGTGAGTGTGCTTGGTTGTCTGTCTCTAAGTGTAGCCCTGTGATAGACTGGTTACCTGTCCAGGGTGTCCTCTGCCTTCGCCCTAAGTCAGCTGGGATAGGCTCCAGCCCCCCCGTGACCCTAGTGAGGATTAAGTGGTGTATAGATGATGGATGGATGGATGATTTTACTACATCATTTCTAAAATGCTTCTATTCATCTCCCTCTCCTTGTTATTATCTTGTGCTTTTCAGGTGTATTTTATTCTATGCAGTTTTTTATTTGCCCCATGTGTACTTGTGACACTGAAATCAAGTTAAGTGTAAAGCTCAGTGGAACTTTGGAACTATCCATCCATCCATTATCTATACACCGCTTAATCCTCACTAGGGTCGCTGGGGGGGGGGCTGGAGTCTATCCCAGCTGACTCAGGGCGAAGGCAGGGGACACCCTGGACAGGTCGACTTTGGAACTGTGAAAAACTTTATTATTTTATGATGATTACTGTTTAACTATTTAGTAACTGAGGGTTGGAAAGCAGACTTTTCTGTCTGCAAAATGTTACAATACAGTGCAAGAAAACATTGAGTCAGATGGCACTGCTTGCTTTATGCCATGTTAGACATGCACACCTTCTCCTCCAGGGGGCAGGCTGAATCTGACACACCAGAACGCAGGGATGAGGCAAACAGAAGCATCCCAAAGCCTTGTCTATTTCACTGGCTTCATACTTAGAAAAAAAAAAAAAAACAGATAGGAGTTGGGTATAAAATTTGCCTCCGTGTTCACGGTTACATGTTGCCAGGAAAGTTTAAAAAATCCATCCGTTTCTTTAGGATCCTGACAGCTGCATGCGCTTAGCCTGACTGTGGTGACCGTCAGCGGTAATGATGCTTTTTAGGGACAGACTGCTATCTCAGTGTGTCACCTTTCACACCAGCCATTACTCTCCTGCACACCTCTCTGCTTCTGTGGCTGATGGTGTCTCCGGATAATTGAGCCGAGGAGCGGGGGGGAAAAAAAAAAGTTATGAACTCCCGATGCTGACAATAATTTAGCCCTGTTTGCTGGCATCAGGCCAAGGAACTCTAATACATAACCACACACACACACGCTCATATAACACCCTCTTCCCATTTCCTTCCTCTTTCTTGCGACTTTCAACATCTCTTCCTATTTTCATCGTTCCCCCCCCTCTCCTGTGCGCATGAGGCTCAGCGGGGCCAAGTGAAATGCACAAATAGTGTAATTGCTTTTTCTGTTGTGCCATAATCTGTCCAGCTAAGAAAAGTGATGGAGAGAGCAGTCCCCCTCCCTTTTAAAGCAGCTTTACTGCTAGGTCAGGGCACTGGGAAATTAATCTCTTTTGTTAAGCTCAGGGTATCGCCACCATCCCAGCAGGTGACAGCCATGGCTCCATAATCTCTATTGGCAGAGAATGCAACTTTCAAGGAAACGTGTGTGCTTGTGTGTGTGTGTGCTGCGTACGCACGCTTGAAGCGGGTAAGTGGGAGAAAGAGTGGGTGATCTTACAGTGGGCTTAATTATGTGTTTCAGTATAACTTTCACAGAAGGCGCCTATAGGACGAAGTGTGTGAGTGGACGTGCAATGGGTGTGTGTGAGGCATCGAGTTCGTATATACGAAGCAGTGATTACAAAGAAAAAAAAACAATTTTTGCTAATATAAACAAAGTTTATCCACCCACTGCTGGAGAACCTTGTGCAAGATTTCATCTCACTTTCATTTGAACAAATAGGATGAAAATAGGATCTGTGCCATTTGTGCTAAAATCTGTCACAGTGTGAGAAGAAGACAAAAAAAAAAAAAAAGATGCAAAAGTAAATAAATAAGTTTGGCAGCTTTGGTGAGACAAGAGTGGATATGAAGCAGCAGAGTGAAATCTCAGGAGGTGGGTGTTCGTACCTGTTTGGGTTGTGAGGGTCTGTATATCTAAAGTAGTACCAGGCCGAGTCCACAAATGTGTCCATGGTGTCGGTCTCCCTCCTCGCTGGGCCTTTACATCTGACAGAAACAGACAGTTGGCAGAGGCGGCACAAAAATTAATATTGGGCTGACAAATTAGGACATGAACAAATCAACGACTCCTGTTTGTGTGCTCAGAGAAGTGGCTTGTATTTATATGTGAGTGTAAAGCTCTGCTCCATCTGGCTGTGGGGGTCACGTCCCTGTAGAGCAGCACAGCTGAAGCCAGGCTGGCACCACAGCTCTGTTCCTGTGCCCTGACTAACAGGCTGTGCTAACAGGGAGCGAACTGGCAGGCCTGCACACATGATCGTGTGTTTGTGTTGGAAATGCCACCTCGTGCCCCTTTCTATCCAAGCCAAACAGCGCTTGGGTACGTGATGCGAATCTGCCAGTTACACTTTCACAGTGCAGGAGAGGACGTCCGCAAAGACACGGGAGACATCGGAGAGTGTTGTTTGTTTCCGATATAAAGCATTTAATGGAACAGTGAAAGCGTCTGCCTTTTACTTTATAATGAGTCTCAAAAGATTTAAAATCAGTGTCCCAGAAAGATAAACAGAGAAACAGCTCTGAGCTTTGCTGCAGTATGTGAAACAGAGTTGGTATCATTTCCTGGACCTTGTGGGATGTCTCTGTTTTGTCTCCACTTGTCGAATATTTTCTTTCACACAAACATTCATCTCAGTCAAATTTTTTGATCACACACTCACCAAGAGACACACACATCGAGAGGCGAAAACTCCTCGACCACCTACCATACCAGTCTATAATAAGGCAGTGATGATGAGGTAAGAGCTGGAGGTTGCCTAGCAACAAGGCTAAGGTGTAGCAAGGTTAATATTTGGAAGCCAGGTGTTATTTCATTTGATGAAACCCCAGCACTATAACGAACCCCCCTTCCGTCACAAAAGGATCCAAAAATGGAAACCTTTCAAAATGGGAGAAAAAAAAAATTATGCAAAAAAAAAAAGTCACTCTCGCTTCAGATTGGCCAATCAGAGGCCAGATTGTGGTTATTTGATAGACAGCTGGTACCAGCTACAGTTCTGAGGATCAGATTAGACGACTCGCACAGGTACTCTCTGTAGAGAGCCGTGAAAAGAGCCTAACAACAAAACTGGGTAACTAAATCTGAAGCAACCTGTGTGCATGAGTGTGTAAAGTGTGAGTGTGTGTTTAGAGGATGAGCCAGCAAGAGCCAAAAGGCTCTCAAACAGATGCGGCAGGGGAGGCAGCTGCCCACTCCATGAGGGCTCTTCCCAAAGAAAACAGCCCTCCATCTGCTGTGCGTCTGTGTGGCTGCTGATCACTGTGTGTGTGTGTGTGTGTGTGTGCTGTGGTAACTAGGTGGTCCTTTTTTTTTTTTTTTTTTTTCTGTGCAACCAAAGAACAAAACACACTTGCATGCACACCTTCCTAATCGAGCTAAGCCGAGGCAGGGTTCAGTTGGCAGGCCAATTTACAGTGCTGCAGAGGGTCGGAGACGAGATGAGCGCACAGGAAATGACTTCCTCAAGGACAGATAAAACTCCATTTCTGCCGCCCATCTCTCATCACCCTGCTCGTCTGTGTTCCACTCAAACTTTAATTGGACATGGTCGACGAGTGAAGAGAACAAATTTCGACAGACACTTAACAACGGAGGGGAGATGGGAAGAGAGGAGATAACGGCATCTTTGCGATTATAGCCATCAATCATCGCCGATGGGAGGAATTTTGGTAGATTTGTGGAAGTGAGTGAACACAATCTGATGACTGGTGCCATCTGCGACTGAGTGGGCCTTTGTTTTAATCAACATGGTGCCATGATGGTGATTAGTCTTATTCAGAGAGGAATCCCCATGTCAGCGACGGGACTCGGGAGACGCCACTAACCGAGATGAGTTGCTGAGTAGAGAGTGTGTGTGTGTGTGTGTGTGTGTGTGTGTGTGTGTGTGTGTTTATGAAAGTGTACAAAAGGTAAATGAGCGTGCACGTGCATGTACAGTCCCTGTGTGTCTCTCTGGAGACACAGCTGGCTTATGTAACCTCCATCATCAGCTCATGTTGCTCCTGTCGTAGATGTCGCTCATTACATAACCCCTTCTCAACACAGTTATTAATCACACAATTTGCAGGCTCGCTCTCGATGCTCTGTGTTCTTGTAGAGCTGTCAGTCCTCCTGACACACATGACAGCGGCCTCATTTTGTTGCTGCTGGTCTCCTGACAAAAACAAGAAAGTATGGAGGAGCAGCAGTCAGTGGAGAGGGTGTACATGTAATTCAATTCTCACCCAGCGAACACCATAACAGACTGGATCATTTCCCCAACTGCGCATGTTGTGCCAGATACAAATAACACTGTATCCCATTTACAACATCACACAGTTGAATGGGGCCACAGATGTGCTAATGCAAACCAGTGTTACCGGAGACGGTGGTGACTCAGCCACTTACTCATGGGGCGGTTTTGCTCACTGTGCAAATAATGACTTTGTGGGTATGAGTAAATGAAATTATTAAGAGGTACTCATGCTCAGCTGGACTCGACTTTTAAAACGCTTTTAGGACCTTGCTGGGTGAAATCTAAAAGCTGAAAATGGCACGGGCAACCTCAGAGTTGCATTTCTGCTTTTTGCAGATGATGTAATTCCGTCGGTTTCATCAGATTGCCACCTTTAGTGCACGTTAGAGTGGTTTTGCGGCTGTACATGAAGACGCCAGGATGAGAGTCAGCACTTTCGAATCTGAGGCCATTAAAACTGGTGAATTGCTCCTTCTGGTTTGGAGGTGAGGTGCTGTCCCAAGCGAAAGAGTTCTAAGTATCTCAGGATCTCATTCACAAGTGGCAGGCAAATGGACTGTGAGATGGATTGGGGCGACTACCATTTTGGTGAGGACGGACGTGAGCCGTAAGACGAAGCTTTCAATGTGCCAGTTGATCCAAGTTCCAACTCTTACCCTTCGTCATGAGTTCTGGGCAGCGAACAAAATAATGAAATCGTGGATACAAGCAGTCGAAATCAGTTTTCTATGCAGAGTGGCTGGCCTCACCCTTAGAGATACGATGAGGAGGTCGGATATCTGGAAGGAACTCAGAGCAGAGTTACTGCTTCTCTGCATTGAAAGGAGTCAGTTCGGGTGCTTTGAGTGGTGCCTTCCTTCGGAGGTTGTCCAAGAACACCCAACTGGGAGGGATTATACATCTCATCTGGCCTGAGAACATCTTGTGATCCCCCAGGACGAACTAGAAACGCTGTTGGGAAGATGTCTAGAATGCCTTGCTTAGCCTCTGACCTGACCCCAAAAGAGCAGGAGAAAATTTATAGCTGTATGAATGAACGGACAATAACGATGCCACTATTTTAAATTCAAATAATTTCTTGAAGTGAGAGGTACACATTCTTTAACTCATGACCCCTTTAGATGAAGAAATGTCTTCTTGCAGGTTATCTGTGCCTAAGGTGGGATCTGATCCATCAAAGAGTAACGATAGATTCTTATAATTACAGTGTGCATTGTTTGTTTTGTTCTCTTTGGGGACAACTATGGTGATAGGCGGTAAATGCCGGTGCGTTTTTGAACCTCAATCTGATCTGAGATCTGATCAATGTCCCCCACGTGATGTCAGTCAGCTGGCACCTCCACACCAGTGCACCAATTTGAGGTCACCACACATGAAAGCTGAAGGGTAACATCTCAATCACCAACATGTGACCTGCTGTGATGATAGATAGTGACTTAACAGACATTTATTTCAATAAAATCAAGGTTGATGAATAAAAACATCTTAGTCAGAACTGCCACCACTGTTGTGTGAGTGTGAATAGCTGAATGAGAAACAGTTTGTAAATTGTTTTGGAAACTGCGGACAAAGAGGCACGATATAAGGGTTTAACATAAACACAATGATCTGAGTTGTTATCGTACAAATCCGTGACTTATCATATGTGAGGGCAGCGACACACCATACAGTTCACCTGAAATCCATTAGAGGTGACACTTGAAGCTACCTACAGTCATTAGAAGTGGTGCTCGTTGTGACAAACCAGTTAGAAACAAACGAGCTTTGTTTAGATGTGCATCCAGCTACAGAATGTGAAAATGCAGTCTTTAAAAAAAAAAAAAAAAAAACGGTAATGTGCTTACTCTAACTGTAGCGTATGAGCTCTTAATTATATATACAAACAATAGCTTCACAAGCAACATTTTCTGGCAGGAGGTCATTTAAAGATTTACAATGGCTTTGAGCTGAGGAGACCTCTAGCTTGAATAAAAATACATTATGGTGACTTTCTTCTCAGGTAATAAGCTGCTGCTGCCGACAAGTAGAAGTAGCTGCCACGGTACATACGTAATTATATATAAATAAATCATTTCACAAGCAATTTTCCCCCCATTCACTTAAACTGGATCTTGTGTTCTATAAGAGCAGGAGACAGTCAGCAAACCTTTGTTTAGAGACTCAGCAGCTGCTGGCGGTTGGTCTTTCATGTGTTTGGTGTGCATTGTTCTCAAATGTGCTTTTCTCCATTTATTTGATTATTAAGTAAGAATATAAAATGCTGTCGACATCACTAGACAACAGCATAAAGAGGCATGTTTAAAGAATGCACAGAATACAAATGCATTGGCTATAAGCATCGGTGCTTTTTTACTTCCTTGTATTCCTCAAAACAATCTCAACTTAATGTCAGAAAGAAGAAATTGTGCTGAGAGAGAGTGACAGAAAGAGAGTCCTTTATCACTATAAGAACACTAAAAGAAGTGGCAAAGACGCATGAATTCACATGCATGCGTTTTTTTAAATCTGAAGGATTAACACTAACAACATGAATATTTATCCAGGACCTTCTCATTCACTCCTTTTTGTCTGTTTTTTTTCAAAATCAGCTGTGTGATAAAGGCAAAAAAGCTGATATGACTTTGTTGACGAACAATTAATTGATTTTAAATTTAAATTTTGACTTGAAAAAATAAAATGCAAATCCCTGCATTTGAACACATCTGTACGTTCTACATTCTCAAAACTGGCTCATTACTTGTTTGAAGCTCCGCGGACGACGACATGACGTAAAAGACGTAACAACAAATGTCTTTATCTTTACCAACAGTGTGCAATTTGTCCCTGAAGCTCAACACACCCCGACCTGCCTCAGCTGCCTGCGAGAGGCTTTGTAGCACTGCAGGACTGATTTTCAGATCCAAAAGGGCACGTCTTCACTCAAAGAATCTTGAGAACCAGCTTCTACTGAGGCTCAATAAAAGATTTTGGTTGTCCTGAAGAGACGAGTGTTTCCATGTTGATTATAATGTTTAATGTTCATAATGTTGCTGAAATGAAAAACTGTCTGGTGATTTCTTTCTCTGTATCAGCACTGTGCAGTTCCTGAAAGGATGAAAACAATCCTGTTTTGTCCTTAAAACTTTTTTTTTGTTTTGTAGAGTTTCTAAAAGAAGCATCGAGTATCATCGAAGCTAAAAATTCATTTTTACTTTCTACTTTTGTACTTAAGAAAATTTCTGAAGCTGTACTTTTTTTACTTTTACTTGAGTAAATGAGTTGAGTCAGTACTTCTACTTTTACCAGAGTCTTTTTTTTTTTTACACAAGTATCTCTACTTTTACTTGAGTAAAGAATGTCAGTACTTTTGCTATCTCTGTCTGTAACACAGTGAATATTGAACAAAAGCTTTATCTGTGAGAATTATTGCAATGGGATCTTTTCCTCAAGTTGTGTAGCTCTAATGCTAACCAACAAATTAGAAGAATTTGAGAAAGATTTGTTTGCACAGTAAAAAACAAACAAACATACAATGCAATGAAAACAAACAAACAAAAACGAATGTAAGCTAAAAAAAAACAAAAACCCCCATAGCCTGTTTATTATGGCAAAATTTTAACTCAGGAGTTAATACGTACAAATACAGCCAGCAACAGCAAACGAATTCATTAGATAATCAGAGTGATCAGCAAACACTGTTAAATCAGAATGTGTCATACATTAGATGGACTGATTGTTACTCTTTTGTTGTGTGTACATGTTGCATGCCAGTCCGCTAGGGGGCTCTCACACTCCTGTAGTACCAGTTATATTGTGGAAGTGAGGTAACCAGGTTGCCGGCGGTTATCATGGTGTAGTTGAACATGGCAGTGGCTAAATAAATTTGTTCTAAATTAAACGTGGAGTTACCACCAGTTAGCAAGAATAGCCCGACGTATTAAGATAATAGCATCAGATTTTATGTAAAAGAACAATAATTTAGCAACTTACAGTACAGTGCTGTTTCTTGAGGTCATTGCAAATGTTTCCATCCTTTTTAATCCCATGTAGTTTTAGGCTGTTATAAATTGGCTTCTGCACTTTTTTTTATTTTTTAAATGTTGAAAACCTTGAATTTTGAAGACCATTTGAAAAATGTTTTCTCATTTGAGCTATTATGTCCCCACTACTATTCGACACAAAGAGATGCCCTTGCTCCTCTGTATCATAAAGGAGTCGCATTAAAACTTTTAAAAAAAGTAAATGTGCATAAATTCTCAGCATTCTCACCTTGGACACTTGCAGTTGACCCAGTCGTGTGCAGCTCCCAGAGGCGATGCACCTTTTCCTGTGAGAGAAGGCAGCTTTGGCAGAGTGACTGGCAGCTCCTCCTCGGGGACTGCGACGGGACCGCAAGACCCACAATGCACCACAGGGATGGGTGTGCCCCAGTACCGCTGTCTGGATATCAACCAGTCCCTGAGCTTGGAGCTGGTGAGGTGGCCTCCAACCTTCTGCTCTCTGGCTTTTTGGGTAATGGAGTCAAAGGCCTGTTCTCTGGTGAGGCCTGAGAACTACATAAGAGGGTAAAAGTAAAGAACAAAAGGTAAAGACACAGCGAACTGCAGCGAGATGACAGCTTAATAATCATGAATTGTTCCTATTTGATTAGGTCTTCATCATCATCATCATCATCACTGCTGACCTCCTTGGAGTTGATTAGAGTTTGTGTCCCATCCTCATGGGTTTCCAGCACAGTGGTCCACCTCAGATTCAGAGCTGTGGCCACAGACAAATCCTCCTCGCTGCAGTCTGGGACACCTGTCACATTAAAGTGCAGGATTAACACCTAACACGGTAAAAAAAAAAAACATCATCTCAAACATGGATATAATAACTAATGTCTGGAGAGAGTAAAAAACTCTCCCTGTGGTGATGTTGAGCGTGTTGTGATGTAACTAATCATTAACAGTCCCTTGGGTTCCAGCTCCACTCTGTGACACAAACACCCACTGGTGTCGCTTTATTGTGGCATTACTGCCGTTCAAAATGTTAGAAACACTGCAGCGCTTCCTTTTGCACCAACAAAATTCCTCCTGATTTGCATGATAAGGATTTTGACCAGTTTACCTCCTGTCATCTGACTGCATTAACTGTTTTTATTAGTTAGAGAGCTATTTGCAGATGAATGAGACATCCACAGACACCAATAACTCACCAAGCACAGTGTCCAGATAGTCATCAAACGTCTCCTTGTGTGAAATGACCACGGGAACCTCGTGGCCGGTGAACAGGTTGTGAGCTGTGACCTCTGTGAGGGAGTCTGGAGAGCAAAGGGCGGGAGGTGTTAGTGAGGCAGCGCTGCTTCCCCTGGTAGCTCATTATCAGCAACCACCCGCCGCAGAGACTGCTACAAGGGGAATCCCAATTAACATACATTAAGTCCACTGCAGCTTCTACAACCACATCTTGGTGGTATGATGGCGAAATAAGTGTATTTACATGAACAATATACGAATATATGAAGACGAGTACAGCACACGTCTTTAGCGATACGCCTAAAAACATGTGGTTCCTTCCTCAAGCAGGCGCTGACATTTCTCTGTTGAACCACTTCTTTTAATTAGGCACCGCTTGCTAAAGAACACACAATATGCAAAGAATCCCAACCTTTTGCTAAGAGCCTTTTCTAGTCCTGACAACTTGTGGGCGTAGAGGAGCGAGCTATCTTAGCTTGGAACAGTAATGAATTATGTTGCTGACAGGGAAACATCGAAATGCGTGCGTTTCCTTCAAAAAAAAGCTTCTTTCCCCGACTTCAAAAGCAGGCAGACGTATGATATTGACAGACAGCCTAAACGCAGGGTGGCGTGACTGTGGATAAACGCTCACCTCTGCCTGGCTGCAAGGCTCTCTGTAGGGCGGAGCGGACTGAGCTGCTGCCATGCAGAAGTCTGTGGGAGGGCAGGATGGACAGGTAAGCCGCTCCGAACACCGTCTCTGGGGAGGAGCTGTAGGCTGACAAGGTCTCCCCCGTCTCCTCCCCGTTCACCTGGGAGACAAGAGAAGAAACGGGTGGGAACCTTCATAGTGGCACGAAGGCTGAGTTAATGAAGGGAACCCGCTGGCTTTCATGTTACAGTTTGATTCCTGCACTGTCCTCATTAAAGGTCCTATACTGTTCCCCTTCTTTTCAGCAAATTAATGACAGTCTCATGTGTCTCCAGAATGTGTTTTTCAAATTTGCAGCTCAAAATACATAAAGAGATTCATAATTTTCAGATGACTGTATAACCCCAGGTCTAAATCATGTTGTAAACAGTCTATTTCAGTGTCTGCAGCTTTAAAAGCAGCTTGAGCTGCTGCTGCACCCCTTTCAGGAAGAAGAGTCTCTCTGCGTCTGTGATTGACAGCACAAAGCAAAACAGCTGACGTGAATGAGCGTGCGAGTGACTCATTTTACACGGAAATATCGCCAAATTCACTGCCCAGCTGTGGTTCTGAACTCATGTTTATGGTGAGTTTGTCAGAGGAAATTGTGGTTCTAAAATGAGTAGTTTAGCATTTTAGAGTGGCAGCTTGGTAAATGGTTCTGAAGTGACTGCTGGTTAACATGCAGCCTTAACGGGCTGCTTTTCAGTCCCTGGTTCACACTCGTTTCGCTGAGAACAGCTTTATTTGGAAATCCGACTGTATTAAAATACAGTATATGCAAGCACAGTGAGCTTCAAGATGTGAATACCAGCAGAGTTCAGGCTGCACTGATGCACAGAAGGGACATAAAAAAAACACAGTAACCTTCCCAGTTCTTGTTTATTGGCTTCAGATGTTTTTTTTCTAATTGTCCCGAAGCATTACAGTTTCCACAGAGTTCTGACTTGTGGGCTGTTGGGAATGTTAGCCACGTTAGCCTCGAAATATTCTAACACCAAGACTTTTCCTATTGTTGTAGAGATATTGCCATTAAAAATAAAAGTAATCACTGGATCTTCAGATGCCAGAAGTGCATGAAGACCCTTGTGTTCACTCTTGCAGTCAAAAGCAGGATGCGCTTTGCTTGTGGCTCGTGACATTTTAGAATTAGCAGAAGAAGCTCTACAAAGTTGACAAACCTGATTGATTGTGAGGCAGCTGCTCATTCTGAATGACTCATATTGACACAGTGGGCAGTAAGATTTCAACAATGACTGGTTACCCGCTTTCTACATAGCAGCTGGATAAACTGGCTTGTGAAGCTGGGAGACTATCTCGTGGTGGGTGGGCTTGAGGAATGGCAAAAGTAAACGTCTTTTTAGGATGTACAAAACACATAAGTTTTCCCCATATTGGACTTTTAAATCAAAGACCAGCTTCTTTTATGCTGTTGGACTGAAGACTTTAGTTTGTGGAGAGGGGCAGATGCAATTTTACAAATTTTATTTAATAAGCAATGAACAAATAAACTGTCAACTGAAAGATGCATGCAACATGTGCAGCATGTAGCTCTTTGACACATAACAGGGTTGCAACGTACAGTTTAATCCTGCTTTAAATTGATGGCACACTCGTATTTGAGGGGGTTGTAATTAATGATTATTACACATCATGTTGCAGACATACTAATAAGCTTTCTCAGTCCTCTGGGGAGTTAATTGAGCAAACGCTTCCTGTAACACTGCATTTTGATGGAAAATAAGATAAGCAGTTAATTTAATAACCCGTGGTTTTGACTTTAATTTCTATGCTACTAGAGCAACCCGCCCTATACACACAGTGAAGGCATAAAAACACAAACGCACTCTCACATCCTTTTCACTCCAGAAATATGAAGATTTTTTTTTTAAATTAAGGCACCGACTTGGTTACATTTCCTCAGGACAGCGGTTGTATAATGTTAGTCGCAGGGCGATCAGTGGGCTGTTTGCTGCCGCTCAGCTTGAAACAACAGGCATGTGAAGAACTGTAAATACGGCACTCAGAAGAGTCAATAGAAACTAATCTGTGACATCATCTGTTTGGGTAAATTGCCACTTGCAGATGGATGCACCCATTGAAAGCGAATAATAAAGTGAGGATGTTTTGGTGCATGATTTTTAATGGAAATACATAAATAAACAGAGGCGCCAAAGAATCTTAAATAAAGCGAGCAATCAGCGTTTGGGGTAAAAGAGGTGAGAAACAGAGGCGGCAGCAGGGAAACACTCGGAGGAAAAGCGATGAGAGAGTGAAACAGAAAGAATGACGAATGATGAAAATTTGAGCCGGGGGGACAAAGGAGCCGAGATTTACCTTGAGTTTGAAATCAAAGTAGCAGCCAGTGCACTCTCCGATCCAGTTCGCCTGCATGGCTTTGACTCCGTACCACTCTGGGAGATCGTCCAGGGCGTCCAGGAGAGGCTGGAGGAGCAACAAAGACACAAGTTTATCACTTTGTGCAAGTTTGGAAAGAGCTAATTTTCCACTTCGGTGTGGAAAAGAGATATTCTCCTAAGTATGTGGCTGTCTAGGATAATGCAATTGACTCCCAACTCTGTGTGGCCTCTTTCAAAGCACAGCCAATTTATTTTGACAAAGCAGCAGAGCCGACCAGGTCACATTATGCAGACAAAAAGGGATTTTCAAGAATTCTGACCTCCACTCGCCCTACTTTTCTTGATATCACAAAGCAATCGCCTATACAGTGTGCACACTCGCTCTCTCGCACACATGCAGCCACGTACACAACAGTCATTGTGCCTGATTAAAGGAAGCTATGCATATAAACGAGGCTCAGGCCAAAAAGCCACAGCTGGTCCAAGGCCGGAGATGTTATAATTCTCTATTTCCTTTTCGGTCTGTCACAATCTATTACCCACAATGCCCCTTCAAGGTGCCGCTCAGCATGCAACACCTCATCATGGAGTTATCAATACAAACCTAAACACTGGCTACAGTCATCACTAGCATGACTGCGGAGCGTGTCAGTGATGGATTTGCTCCAGAAAGGGAGAAAAGGAGACATAAATTCTGACGAATCTGTGTCAGCATGACTGAGCGACTCTTGGCAGAGACGCAGCAAAAACAAAGATGTTACCGGCAACGAAGGAAAAACTGAAAAAGCTGTGACAGATAACTAGCTGTAAAGTGAGAGTGTTTTGTTTTTTTTTGTTTTTACTTTCCTGGACTAGGAACTATAGTTTGGCACAGAAGCAGGAATCGTAATTGAAATATGTATGGCAAGGACAGGAGTCTCCATGGCAACTAAGAAAAGCTTGAAAGAAAAAGCACGGTATTGCAATAACCAAAGATCTGGGTGTGAGAAAGAGACGTCAAGTACACTTCTGAAAAAAAAAATATTGGACAGTGTAGCAACAAAAAAAAAATCGATGCACTTTCCAGGCTGAGATTTTGAAACAGCCTCCATGAAACCACAAGCTGTTTGTGGTCAATTTACCATAAATGACACAAAACATTTCTGGGAGCTATGCATATATTTGAGCAATGCTGTAGGAGCACAATGCACTGAGCTCTCAGTTTGTGAATCATTTAGATGCCAGTGTGGTGTAATAGGCAGGCAGCATTTGTCTGACTGCAACAAGTGTGATTGTGCATGAAATTGAAAACTCTGCTTCTGCCACATGATAATTTAGCATCCTGCGTGCTCCACGTAAAAAAAAAATAAAAAATCCATCTTAGTAATAATACGCAGTCAGTGTGCAATGTGGAACAACTCGACAGCTAAACAGAATAAATATTGTCTGAAGTTAATGTTGTCTAACAGACTCGAACACATGTAGAGGCGAGCAGGGAAATCACGGTCCAATTACTTTTTTTTTGTCTTTGGCACGCTCTGGTTCGACACGGTCCTCCTTTCTCTCCATCTGTCTTTCTCACTTTTTTCCTCTAACACCTTCCTCTTCCTTCCTTCCCACTTCTCCGTTCGTCAGAGAAAATTAGAAATGCAGGAACACATTGTCACAGTGGGCTGCTTCCACCTCCACTCACACCTCTGACAGGGGCGACTGTGGCTGAAGCTGAGTGACGCCTGACGGTGGACAAGATGAGTTTTTCAATCAAAATGACAAAACTGACAAAGGACGCAATAAATCCTCTAAGGAAAAACTAGTGTTTATTGCAAGTTTGGGGCCATTTATTGGAAATCACGTGTATTTTTCCTTATTGGCAACCATTTTTAATGCATAAAAGCATTGTTTCTTTTTCATTTCACACCTCCCAGGCACTGGTTTCTATTTTATTTTAGTATGATATGAAACCACTCACAGAAACTTCTGAGCTGCTGGGCAGGATTGCTAT